AGTTGGTTACTGATCAAATTTCTCAGTGCATGTGAAAGATAAACCAGTTTAAAAACCCAACTGATATTTTCCCGTTTGTAGTTCCCAGTCTGACAGGGTTTGTAGTTCCCAGTGTGACAGGGTTTGTAGTTCCCAGTGTGACAGGGTTTGTAGTTCCCAGTCTGACAGGGTCTGTAATTCCCAGTCTGACAGGGTTTGTAATTCCCAGTCTGACAGGGTTTGTAGTTCCCAGTCTGACAGGGTCTGTAATTCCCAGTCTGACAGGGTTTGTAATTCCCAGTCTGACAGGGTTTGTAATTCCCAGTCTGACAGGGTCTGTAATTCCCAGTCTGACAGGGTTTGTAATTCCCAGTCTGACAGGGTCTGTAATTCCCAGTCTGACAGGGTCTGTAATTCCCAGTCTGACAGGGTCTGTAGTTCCCAGTCTGACAGGGTCTGTAGTTCCCAGTCTGACAGGGTCTGTAATTCCCAGTCTGACAGGGTTTGTAATTCCCAGTCTGACAGGGTTTTTTGGACTGTAATTCCCAATCTGACAGGGTTTGTAATGCCCAGTCTGACAGGGTTTGTAATTCCCACTCTGACAGGTTTTGTAATTCCCTGTTTGACAGGGTTTGTAATTCCCAGTCTGACAGGGTTTGTAGTTCCCAGTGTGACAGGGTTTGTAATTCCCAGTCTGACAGGGTTTGTAATTCCCAGTCTGACAGGGTTTGTAATTCCCAGTCTGACAGGGTCTGTAATTCCCAGTCTGACAGGGTTTGTAGTTCCCAGTCTGACAGGGTTTGTAGTTCCCAGTCTGACAGGGTTTGTAGTTCCCAGTCTGACCGGGTTTGTAATTCCCAGTCTGACAGGGTTTGTAATTCCCAGTGTGACAGGGTTTGTAATTCCCAGTGTGACAGGGTTTTTTGGACTGTAATTCCCAGTGTGACAGGGTTTGTAATTCCCAGTGTGACAGGGTTTTTTGGACTGTAATTCACAGTCTGACAGGGTTTGTAATGCCCAGTCTGACAGGGTTTGTAGTTCCCAGTCTGACAGGGTTTGTAATTCCCAGTCTGACAGGGTTTGTAATTCCCAGTCTGACAGGGTTTGTAATTCCCAGTCTGACAGGGTTTGTAATTCCCAGTCTGACAGGGTTTGTAGTTCCCAGTCTGACAGGGTTTGTAATTCCCAGTCTGACAGGGTTTGTAATTCCCAGTCTGACAGGGTCTGTAATTCCCAGTCTGACAGGGTTTGTAGTTCCCAGTCTGACAGGGTTTGTAGTTCCCAGTCTGACAGGGTTTGTAATTCCCAGTCTGACAGGGTTTGTAGTTCCCAGTCTGACAGGGTTTGTAATTCCCAGTCTGACAGGGTTTGTAGTTCCCAGTCTGACAGGGTTTGTAGTTCCCAGTCTGACAGGGTTTGTAGTTCCCAGTCTGACAGGGTTTGACTTATTCTATATGTATTCTTTCCTTGATGACAAATTAGTAAGATACAAAAACAGCAAACACAAGTTTGAACACTGAAAATTTCCTTTTTTCTTGTATGCTTTTATTTTGTTTCTCAATTTCTCAAATTTTTGTTGAACAGTAATTCTGTCAAATCAAAAAGGCATATTTTACATTGTATCTGAAATTCTAAATAAACAGAGAGAAAAAGACAAAAACTGTCCAGATAGTTAGACAGGTCGCCAGTGATGATCCATATATACACATTAATCTGCTCTCCAGTCGTAGTCAGGTCTGGTGGGTTGTAGACACTCCACTCAGAACTAATACTGAGCTGTCAGATAAGCTGTCTGGAGAAAACACTTGTTGTGTCTTATAGTCTCTAACCACTAAAACTCGCCAATATCTGCCCAATATCACACCTAAAATGGTTTCCATGTTCATATAACATTTAAATTGACATTTATGACTAATATTTAAGAAAAAAATGCCAGTTATCTATTTCTGAATGCATATCCAGATATCACTTATCTTTCTGGAAACATTTCAAAATGTGATAAACTATTGCCTGTCCTGATGGCTGGACCAGAGTGATGGAGGAATAGGAGGCGATATGGAATTATCAGAATGTCACCCAAGGGAACTCTGAAGGTCATCTAGGACAGGAACGTGTTGGGATAGATAACGACGGAGAAGAAGTTAGGTCAACATCCAGGTACACAGTAACAGCATCACGATGTCCTGATGTAGGTACCCATTACAACAGCTGGCTAGACTAGATACACATTCATTTAGAACACAAATAAGACCTGACATTTACCTCTTACTAGCTACCATGCTTGGCTGTTTATCATTAGAACCCACAAGTAGGCAGTGGTGTACAACAGTAAGTGTCCTCCCTACCTGTCAGACCAACAACTCATTAAGCATACAATAAAGGTTATCACACCTGTGCATTGTCTTTCACCCATCATATACTAATATCTTCATTTGCACATCTACGTTTTAGGATTAAACTATCATCCTTAGTTCTATCTTTTAACATAAATAAATACCCGTCTTGTGATCATTAAATGTTTTCCTTGTAAAAATCTGTTTGAAAACATAAGCTTTAGTTAAAATCTGAGAGAAGGACTTCTGTACAGGATCAGACACCATGGTTATTGAATCACAAACCATGGGTTTATGGTGGGATTGATATGAAAAACAGCTGAATCTTGGGTCTCAAACTTCTCCATTTTGATCTTTCACAACAAATGAATATCAATCTTAATGAACATTTGCAGAGTTTGATTATCTGATCTAGATTACATCAAACTTATGTTTTCGACCTTGGTTACAGAGAGTTTCACCCGGTGATGGGGACACAGATTAATTAAGTCACGCGAACACTGACGGTACTTGGTGAGACAATGCCTAGAGTGAGTGAAACAACAAATCAGCCGTACATTTACATCACAATTTCCGCCAAAGACTAACACTATGTAACTATATAGCCTGCACTATTTTTGGGAGTCAAACATGCATATTTTTTACAGAAGGTTGCTGTCCTAGATTCCCACAGTATGTGTGGGCTGATGACAAGTGTGATGACACATGCTGGATGATATGTAATGTACCAGCTGTACATGAGCTCCAGTACTTCAAAGCTTGATTAGTCTCACTAAGCAACCAAATGTTTGCAAAACACAATTGAGTACATTGTAAATATTTTTCATCATAATATAATTATAAGTTCTTGAATAATATTGTAAAAATTATATCCATGAATTTATTATACCAATGTACTGAGTTTGGCTTCCAACTAGAAAAACTTTGCCTCCACGCCATTGCATATGGATATGAAAGTGTGCAAAATTTCTACAAATGGCAATGTTGACCTTGACCTTGGAATCCTGAAACATGAACCCATCTGAGGTGTTGGTTTTTGTGATCGACCTTTCTCCTATATCAGACAGACAAATCTCATGTGATACCTAGTGTTAGACTTTGTTTTTTTTCATTACTTTATGCAATATTTGGTGCCAAGTGACTTCACAATCAAAATGACATCATATTCAATTGTCTTTCTGACACATAACCCCAAAGCGAGATAATTCAATCAAATAAAAGAAGTTGGAAATGAAAGTAGTTGAGAAAAGGTTTATGTGGTTTTGACACAACAGCGTAAGAGAAAAAATTGCTTAAATGAGATTTTGTTTCAGAACATCAGAGACAGAGATAAATCAATGTTTAACACATACAGGTAACAAAAGTATTTCATTCTATAAAGTTTGATAGAAATCCCTCTATAACAAAGTGGTGACATTTAATCAGGAGAAAACAGAAGGTCATAGATAACATTATATATATCTCTCCCCCCCTTCACAATACCACCTATACAAAGAGGAAGGTATAGGCCCAGGAGTACACAAGTACTGAGGAAACGTACAAAGTTATGTAACATGAAGTCAATGGATACAACATCAGCCCTGCAGTACACAGGTCTGAACACATTTTTATGGAGTTATGTGGGTTGGTATAAGATTTACAGCATTGACACTACAGCTGGGATGCTGATTGTGAAGGATTTTGGTCCCGGTAGGTAACAAAGTCGTACTTTCCCCTTCCCCCCTCCCCACTACATAACATATTCCTCCGAGATGAAAAACAAAAAATGGACTAATTGTTTCCAGAGCTTTTCAGAATGCTGAACTCCATATCAGTTTCAGACAAAAACAAGTTTTAATTTCCGTTTTAATTGTTAACATACTCTACCCTAATTTGTAACTTGATCTATTTGTGTGTGTGTTCCAGCCATCTCTCTGTGAAAGATGAAATGCCACCAAGCCATACTGCCAAACTCATCCTCTAGGCTTAGATGAAGGAAAATCTAATTGAAGTGCAAATTATAGCTAATCAATTCTCACAGCCACAACCACTGTGTGAAACCATTCTAGATGAAATTAGACTTAATTGTACTTAAATGTCGTGACATATTCTCAGAATTCACCAAACAGTGATGAGATTTCGAAAGTCTTATATTGGTCACCTAACAATTCACACATTAACAGGACATCCAACAATTTCAATTCAACCATTTATCGATGAACAGCAAAGAGTCACATCAGAAAATCTTCAAGTAATGTTATCAGTTCTCCAGAGACTTCACATGACAGAGCTTGAACTTTTACAATCATAGGAAGTTCGTTCAAATCCAGCGACATATACCAAAAACATATTGCTTCCATCGCGCAATTTTTACGATAAATGTATAGTGATTTTTTTGCTACTTGATGCTACACCAAATTGAATGCTTTTCATATGTAGCATTTTTTATTTCACAATACAAGTCCACTTTGGGATTTCATGTCTGTAGAATTCTAACTTGCAATTCACTAAACGGACTCGATATATAAATTTACTTTTGACTTCTTAAGCGCACAACAACAGCTAAAAGCATCATTTAATAATCTAGTGAGAGATATTATGTCAATTTTTCTTTTTCTGTAAAAAAGTTTCCCGTTAGGGCAGAGGTGTCTTCAACATCAAGCAGTTAATTCTATCATTCCAACGTCCCATACTTGGTCAATAACTTACCATCATCTGGATCAGGTTCTATGAGAATGCTCATGTTTCTGGCATTTCCAAGGCGACCCCCAAAAGTGTCTGTTAGCATGACCTTGAAGGATTCCTCCTCCTCGTATAGAGAGTCGTCAATGATGGTAACTTTACAGAAGCGCTCACTTTGACTGTGGTCAAATCGAATAATACTGGAGTGGTGAAGCGGCCTTGAAATATAGTCCGACCCTGAAGTAACCTCTGTGGCAGGATAATTAGGCATCAAAGGGGATCCTGTAGCAGATCCTAGGGAGATGAGCATTGAAACCTTTGTCAGGTAAAATAGATGCTTTGTTCAACGATAAGCCCATGCCTTGTAATAAGCCCACCCTTATATCTATTCCTCAGGATAAATCCACCCAAATCTCTTGCTTTTCAGTAAACTTTCTCATGAACTATACCCATAGCTAACTTGTGTATTTAGTCTCAATATTTCACTGTTTTATACAATGTATACAGCAAGGGTACTTATGACCTACCCAGCACGATCTCTGAAATTGGGAGATTATCCTTTTTTTAACCCATACGATCGAGAGACAGGGCCGGGGAGTGAAATTAGGAAACTCCTGGGAAAACTGGCAGGTATGATACAGAAACTAAATTTGTGAGATATTAGCTTTTCTTAAACAAAAAAATACATTAACTTTCTAATGCAACTGTTAATTTTCACATTTTTCACAACAATTAAACTTCGCGAAACAGATATTACAAAAAACTGTTGTTTATTATCCATTTTTTTTATTCACGACAATAAACTTTGCGAAAATGTTTTAACCATGAAAAATTTTGGAAGTATATTGCAAATGAAAGAAAGTTAGTTGACCATATATAAGGTCAGCTGACTTCTCACACTGGCCATTTTATAGAGGTCAACCAAGTGAAAGCTTACCTGGACTTGTGGAACAAATGACCATTAGCTCGTTAGTGAGGTCACCTGTTCGATGGACCGGTAGTAGAACTTCCCCGATATTCTCTGCCACTCTGAACTCCTGCTCTGGGAAAAACACTGTGGACTCTGTAATATACGATTCAATGTGGCACCTGAATGTTGATTTTTTTTTTTAACGTGATATTTTTTTAGATTAAAGTCTGGTAGACACTTAAGCAGTACCATTGACTATTGACAAGGGCTTATCATTAACAATATAGGCAAACAAATTCCGATGCTAACCCAACCCCCCTCCATCCCCACCCCCACCCCACCCCTCTCCTTTCCTCATTTCTATCAAGAAACAGGACAGTTGTGTTTACTATAAAATCTTATACATTTATTTATATTTCCGTTCGTATGATTTCATGGATCTCCATGTCAATTTTTATCTGTTTTACTTTTCTTTCATTTCGTAGACATATTTATTCATAAATTCAGAGAAACCACAAATTAAATAACAAAAGTAATATTGTTATAGCATTTCATTTTCAAATCATGTTTTCCGTTACCACAGTTTCATGTCTCAACATATACCACATGGAAATTATTTTTTTCTTTTTCATTTTTATTAAGCTTTCTCCTCTTAGGTTTTGTAAGGACACAGTTGCATCGTTTGTTGGTGATATTTTATCTGTATATAACTTAAAGATATTACAGCACAGGGTACATTTATAAACAAAAAAAATTAATATTTGCATATCTAAATTCAAAACAAAGATACTGCTGCATAAAAGAATGGCTACCGTCTTCTGGATCCTGAATGGTTACTATGGAAACAACAGGAAGTTGTAGGGCAGCCATGGCAGGGTGGCTGAGTTGAAGTGTGAACTTTTCTGGACCTTCAAACCGGTTGTCATCCTGCAGGTGAAGTCGCCATGTCTTGACCTTCTGACCTGAATTATAAGATTTAATTCATAATTCATCCATACAAAATTTTTACACAAAATCTGTCACAAGGTATTATACACACATACGTATAACACAAATTAAACGTACAAAAGTAAATCACAAATTATATATACAAAAGTACATCACAAATTATACATACAAAAGTACATCACAAATTATACATACAAAAGTACATCACAAATTTATACATACAAAAGTAAATCACAAATTATATATACAAAAGTACATCACAAATTATACATACAAAAGTACATCACAAATTACATGTACAAAAGTACATCACAAATTATACATACAAAAGTACATCACAAATTATACATACAAAAGTACATCACAAATTATACATACAAAAGTACATCACAAATTATACATACAAAAGTACATCACAAATTATACATACAAAAGTACATCACAAATTATACATACAAAAGTACATCACAAATCAAATACAAAAGTACATCACAAATTATACATACAAAAGTACATCACAAATTATTCATACAAAAGTACATCACAAATTATACATACAAAAGTACATCACAAATTATACATACAAAAGTACATCACAAATCACATACAAAAGTACATCACAAATTTATACATACAAAAGTACATCACAAATTATACATACAAAAGTACATCACAAATTATACATACAAAAGTACATCACAAATTACATGTACAAAAGTGCATCACAAATTATTCATACAAAAGTACATCACAAATTATACGTACAAAAGTACATCACAAATTTTACATACAAAAGTACATCACAAATTATACGTACAAAAGTACATCACAAATTATATGTACAAAAGTACATCACAAATTATTCATACAAAAGTACATCACAAATTATACGTACAAAAGTACATCACAAATTTTACATACAAAAGTACATCACAAATTATACGTACAAAAGTACATCACAAATTATATGTACAAAAGTACATCACAAATTATACGTACAAAAGTACATCACAAATTTTACATACAAAAGTACATCACAAATTATACATACAAAAGTACATCACAAATTATACATACAAGAGTACATCACAAATTATACATAAAAATGTACAAAAGTACATCACAAATTATACATACAAAAGTACATTACAAATTATACTTAAAAAATCACATATTATACATAAAAAAGTACATCACAAATTATACATACAAAAGTACATCACAAATTATATGCACAAAAGTACATCACATATTATACATAAAAAAGTACATCACATATTATACATAAAAAAGTACATCACATATTATACATAAAAAAGTACATCACAAACCAAAAACTCTCTAAGTTGATCCTAAATCAATAATACTGAAGTAGAACCCCTAACCATACAAATTACATTTCAAATGGAACATGCAAAGTCACAAACCAAAAATATGTATCTACACAATTAGTAATCGGTAAAATTAGATCTTTCAGGAGCACATTTTTGTTCTTTGATGTGAATTTAACTGAAGAAGTCCAATTTGCCAAACTACTTGACTTTACCTAGCCAGAACATACTGTGCTAGATTTTGCAGCTGGATGCATTAGATTCCAAATCTGATTTGAGAACATTACCAGGATTGTACAGAAAGATTTCTCCACAAAATGTCTTTTAAACAAAAAATTACTGTAATAAAATCATGAAATTTGTTCTTCAAAGCCTATCCTATTTTTGTATCATCCAGCTCTTTATTTTCTCTAAAACATTTTCACACTGGTTATTACAGAGGTAATACCAGTTTTTCTTGACTACCTGAAGCTAGCTAAACATTAACTCCAGCGGCCTCATCTCTAGCACGGAACCTTTACCATCACACAATTCTTTAATGGACTCTTCAAATCACAACTAAAAATACTAGCTAGGCCAATTTCCTTCAGTTACAATATGGTGTTACACTCCATTTGACACAGAGTTTGAACTATTATGGCACAAACTGATGGCTGTTTATGACAGGGGAGGAAGCAGTGAACAAAAGTACACTCATCAGGACCATAGTGTAAAAGTTTGGTTTAACTGAACCTTTCATTTTCAGATTCAAAATTAAAAAAAAAAAAAAAAAAACTAAAATTAATTTTCTTTGTACTGATGAAAAAGCTAAATCAAAATAATCATAAAAAACACCAATATCTCTGCATAGCAAGAAAAAAACTTGTTAATCAGACGATCAGGAGTGTTTCTAAATGAATTTCCACAAAGCTAATGAATGATTACAATATTGATAAATGAAATAGTATCATCAATTGACCAAGAACCACTCCCTGAGACAGGATACTTGGTCTGTGCTAACTCGGAACCACTCCCTGAGACAGGATACTTGGTCTGTGCTAACTCAGAACCACTCCCTGAGACAGGATACTTGGTCTGTGCTAACTCAGAACCACTCCCTGAGACAGGATACTTGGTCTGTGCTAACTCAGAACCACTCCCTGAGACAGGATACTTGGTCTGTGCTAACTCAGAACCACTCCCTGAGACAGGATACTTGGTCTGTGCTAACTCAGAACCACTCCCTGAGACATGATACTTGGTCTGTGCTAACTCAGAACCACTCCCTGAGACCAGATACTAGGTCTGTGCTAACCCAGAACCACTCCTGGGTAACTAGGTCTGTGCTAACTCAGAACCACTCCTGGGTTACTAGGTCTGTGCTAACCCAGAACCACTCCTGGGTTACTAGGTCTGTGCTAACCCAGAACCACTCCAGGGTTACAAGGTCTGTGCTAACCAAGAACCACTCCCTAAGACAGTTTCCTAAATCTGTGCTAACCAAGAACAACTCCCTAAGACAGGATACTAGGTCTATGCTAACCCATAATCATTCCTTGAGACAAGACACTAGATCTGTCCTTGCCCTGAACCACTCCCTGGGACAGGATACTAGGTTAGCACTCCCCCAGAACCACTCCATAAGAAGAATACTAGGTCTGTATTCACCCTTTAAGAATGCACCCTCTTACCATGCCCTATGACTTTTTTTCAGATTCAAATTTGTTTTTAATCCTTCATACAGCAGCACTCGTAACACCACACTAGGTGGTAGATATTTACCTACCTAGAGAAACTTGTACTGTCAGGAACAATGCCCAATTTCACCCATGACCTTACCTGGGTTGAATTGAACTTGCAGATTGGACCAGTCCCTGATATCCTCCCCAATCCTGGCTGAACCGTTCTCTGCAGTTATGGCTGTAAAATATCAAATCATATTCAGCCATCATCGTATTGCAAGAGACGAATGTTCTAGAAATATTTGTCGAGTTTTGTCAGTCATCTATATAGATGGTCAGTAGCAATTATATACCAACTCTCTTTTAAAGCAAACTACAATTTCAGCATCGCAACATACTTGCAGCAATTAAGTTTAATGAAAAAGACTATACTATGGTGGTGATTATCACTATTGTCTTGATTCACAACTATTGACTTCTATGAATTTGTTTTGATCTCCAGATTCACAAAAAAGGATTAGTTTGCAGTAACTGCCCAGAGAAATATCAATTAAGACTGTACATTTTAATGAAAGCCATTTTGAACTAAGACAAAAAGAATCAAATATTACTTACTGACAAAAGATGTTTCACCAAGGTATCCTCTGCGCTGAAGCGTGACCTCAAATATGTCTTGTGTCTCGTTCACATTATAATGATCACTGCTGAAGGATACCCAGCACCAGTTTAGATGAAACGGTTGATTCGACAGCTCATTACCACCTGTAGTCATAAATTAAAATATAAATATCATAATCAAATAAAAAATATAACTGGGTGTGGCATAATCATCCTTACATTTTCATCCAGAATGAATGGTTGAGAATTTAGTCTCAAGAGATTTTACTGAAATTTTGCATCAATTTGACCTTTATCCGAAAATGTGCCGGTAACAGCGACTTAATTACATTGCAAAGCACACAATCTATCAATGATACAGGTGTAATTCAAATCATACTGACTGTTTCAAATGATCTCAATCAAGCTGACAATCTATAACAAAATTTCATTCCTAATGAAGCCAAGAATGAGATGTTATGGAATGTTACCCAGAGATAAACTGATTTAAATGATAAATAGTCTGGAATCTTATCTCATTAATTATTAATTATTTTCCTTTCAATAAAAAATTTTCAGCATGAGTGAGTTACTTCTCTTGTCATTGATATGATTCAGAAAGGCAACAGGATATGACATCATTTTAATTTTGATGATATTTTATGTCAAATACCAGACAGATCAGACAAAACAGAAAAATTTGGCACTGAGTAGAGTATGAGATTTTCGTGTCTCATGTTTGAGAAAATATGTCTCCATTTCAATTCAAGGGGAGACGTGCATTAAGTCCAGTTTTACCATATTAATCTAGAAATAAGCCCATGCTTGGTGATAAGCTCATCTATTGGGTTTTCAGTAGAAATACCAACAAATGATCTACCAATGTCCTGTGATAAACTCACTCTACTCCCTACCAAGTTTGCGCCCCTGGGCTTATTCCAGGAAAAATACAGCTACCAAACACGAGAAAACTTCTAATACATCAATCACAAATCCTACAGATACTTGATTAAGTAGGATTGTACTACAGATCCAGGCAAAATATTCCTGGACTAGTTTTATCCAGGGTTTCCTGGACAATCTATTTTCAGAATGTTATTACCCTATTTGTTTATAGATCATCTTCTGTTCTGATATCTGTAATTGTGAAATGAGACTTGACCTTCCTGATAGGTAAAATATTCCATGGTTAGAGAGAATCAATTTATTCAATCAAGATAAGAACCGTTTTGGACACAATTTAATATATTTTGTAATAGGTGGATTTATGACGACAGCAGTAGATTGAATATTAAATCAGACAGAGCTCTCTCTCCGTATCCCACATGTAAATTGGTAATTCAATTTTATTTCCAATCGAAGACATACTCGCTTTCAGTATACATTTATTTGGATACACACAACCCTCTAAATAATATCGAAATTTCTCTTTTTGGGATAAAAGATTAAGTTTCCAATTTGTTTTTTTCAAACTTCCTCGTCTATCAGACTTTCATCAGAATGAAGGCGATTAGACAGCATCACAATGATAACTGAAGCTCAGATCCTTTCCATGTATTTTCTTTTATCCCTACCATTTAATTTTGTTGAAGAAGATTTATTGAGTCAATGGTGGAGCTCAGATTTTTCTTCTGGGACGTCTATCTCAACAACTAGGCTGAGTTATTACATTTGTTGTATAACAATTTTTTATGGAAATATACTTTGCTTCGTCATTTGTTAGCCTAACAGTGTAATAGCATTTGATCTATTAGCCCTGGGCGTTAGGGGCCTGCATCAGTTTGATGGCCAAGTTTGGGAGTTTCGACAGTCAGAGATTTAGTATAAGATAAGGCATACATTTTGTTTATGGTACAATGTTAGATATATCAATATAAAATTGTATTATGACTATTATTACTATAAAAATCAATCTCTATTGGGTAGAAAACTACCTTCTTCTCTTCAAACTCAATAAATCTGACTCAACTGTTCAGGAACGGTCTTTTATCGTTTGCCAGCATCAAAAGCATTTCGTGATATTCCTGAATTATTAATTGGAGTTGTGTGCAGAGTGAGCCGTAAATGTCGTCCTTCAGTGAAGCATTCTGTATCAATAGTCAGAGTAAGAGGGAAACCATGTACTACGACAGCTACTACTGGCAGTAGACATCTTTATCAGCTCCCACAAGATCCATCATCACCCAATCAAGATGGCTGATCGGTAAAATGAAGATTACAAGCTATCAGTAACACCTCAGATGTTCTGTAGCTGAATTAGACAGAGGCAAAGAACCATTGTCTAACCAAATATTTGGTTATGGTTGGAAATAAACATTTTTGGAATAGATGATGTCATATTGTTCTTGTATGTGATAATCCGAGTTGTAGATATGAGACAGTCAATGAGTCGGAATTTCATGTTACGGTTACTTTTGAAGGGCAACAGATAAACACACTGTCAAACCACTGGAAGTATTCTCAGTCTAGAATGACTACCATTCTGCAGGATTTTGTAAAAATTTACCCAGCTGTATCTGTCAATTAACAAGTTTATCTCTCATGATTTGAAACTAAGAATCACACACATCCCAGAGATCAGAATTTCAATTTGAAAATTCTAGATTCTAGAGAAACCGGGGTCAGTCTAATGTTTAATATACATGTAAATATCCATGAACCAATGTAATGGTCAGTGACAAAATGCAACGAGAGAAGGGCATTGGCTGTGCAGTCAAACAGTACATGAAATCAACATGGTAGAAAATGCAATGATACAGTGATGTCAAATATGAAATAACTGTCTGCTTGTGACAAGAATAGACATCAACTACGACAACATCAGATCTACTCTGAATTGAGGACAAAGGTCAAGGCTCTCATGTTTGACCTGTCACTGTCTGCTTGTGATGGGAGATTCCGACAACATCAAATCTACCGTAAATATTTGCGTATAGTGCGCACTCGCATATAGTGCGCAGGTACTTTTTGGAGATCAGATTTAAAAAAAAAAAATTTACAGAAAAATTAATTGACTGGTCACTGCGACGAAACATTTGATGTGGTCTGATCCATTGATAATTAGGAAACCACAATGAGCGTGACCCTAACACATGTAATTACCTTAAGTAAACAAATTTACCCAGGTGACCTAACAAGCATGAAAGGCTTGGCTGATGGTATAATTAACGGTTAATGACAGTTAACACGTTAAGTATGAGGAGACTGATGACACCCGGCTTGGGCTGAACGCGTACTATTGGTCAGAAAACGATGCTGTTTTAACTGTCGGAACATTTTCAATCCTACCTTGTCCCCATAAAAGCAGGTGGTTTGTTCAGTATAGGCATGATCTTTCATGGTATCTGTACCCATCGCGGTATCCGAAGGTATTTAATGATAGATTGTTTACACCGACTTCGACATGGGGAAACAGCGAACGCCATTTGACTACGCCGAGAGACTGGAGTTTCGTGCCGCCGGTCGCCACTTTGACATTCCAGAGTGAAATATCAAGGCACGGAAGAAAGAAAAGACCGTCTTAAGTCCCCACTACTGACCAGAAAGGCTGACATCGATGCGACAGCGAAACACCCAGAGATGGAGAGAGAGAGCTGTTCAACTTTGTATGCGATCGCCGATATCCCGGCATCGCTGCCAGTACAACAGAACTGCGCGTGCGGGCCATGCAGATCAAGAGAGGTCATGGGGTCACCAACTTTGGGCATCGGTGGGATGGGCTGTCCGATTTATGAACAGAACGACAATCGCTTAAAAACTTCCGGATTCATTGAATTCCACAGATACAACATCATCAAAATGAGGCAGAAATTCAGACATTACTATAGCCCCGACCAATAGTAAGACCGATGGGAAACGAAAAAAAATTAGATTCACTGTAATGCTAGCGTGAATGGCAGATGATTAAAACATTCGAAATTTATTTTATTTCTTTGTTGTTTTTATCTCCAAACTATCATATAAGACCGACGACTTTTACATATAACTATATGAAGGGAGGTAATCCAATATGGCGGATGCAGAACTCGGGAATGATAACCCCAGGAATGGCATGTACCTGCGTATAGTGCGCACCCCCGTTTTGACATGACAGTTTCAGCTTAAAAAAGTGCGCACTATACGCGAATATTTATGGTATTCTGAATTGATGACAAAGGTCAAGGCTGTGATGTCTGACCTGCCACTGTCTGCTTGTGATGGGAGATTCTGACAACATCAGATCTATTCTAAATTGAAGACAAAGGTCAAGGCTGTGATGTTTGACCTGCCACTGTCTGCTTGTGATGGGAGATTCTGACAACATCAGATCTATTTTGAATTGAGGACAAAGGTCAAAGCTGTGATGTTTGACCTGTCACTGTCTGCTTGTGACCAGAGAAGAATAGACACTTACTACCACAACATCCGATCAATTCTGAATTGAGGACAGAGGTCAAGGCTGTGGTTTTGAACCTACCACTGTCTGCTTGTGACAGGAAAAGTGTGGACACTCACCCTGATAGCATCAGATCTATTCTGATAAGGATATTGTTTGGCCATGTTGTTGATTGATATTGAGTCCCCTGGGCCCTGTGCTTAAATGTTTTACAACTTCACTATCTTTCCAATGATGGATTTTATACTGATATAGAGCATACATGGTATTTTATGCCCCATGTCACACTAGTATTGCCTGGGACATGAAATATCACTAATATCTCTTGATACACATAATATCAGTTCCCAGTTTCTGGTGACAGCATAGTATCAGGGTTGATGCAGTCAACATTGAATGGATAATATTGTCAAAACAGTGATGATTCAAGCTAAAGCCCATGTCCCAGTCAGGTCCGACCTCTGCCCCAGTCAGGTTCCATCTCTATCCCAGTCAGGTCCCATCTCTGTCCCAGTGAGGTCCCACCTCTATCCCAGTCAGGTCCTAACTCTGCCCCAGTCAGGTCCCACCTCTGTCCCAGTCAGGTCCTTTTTCTGTCCTAGTTAGGTCCCACCTCTGTCTAAGTGTGGTCACACCTCTGTTACAGACAGGTCCAACCTCTGTCCTAGTCAGGTCCAATCTCTGCCCCTGTCAGGTCCCACCTCTGTCCCAGTCAGGTCCCTTCTCTGTCCTAGTTAGGTCCTACCCATGCTAGTCAGGCCCAACCTCTGCCCTAGTTAAGTCCCACCTC